TTATAATCAATGAATACATGGATTCAGACGTAAAGCATATCTCTATAAATTAACTTATAATCCAAATATAATGTCAATTCTCTGTAAATAAAAGTTAGAATCAATAATAAAATGATTTGAAAAATTAATGCAAAAAACTTTAGCCCCAAAAATAGTGCAAACAATTTGATTGATAGAAATGATTGACAATTGAATTTTTGTTAGTATACTGTTTAAGGGATGAGTCGTGTTTTACAGACGTTTTGGTGTATAAATGGGTAATAAATTTGAAGGTATTTTGTTGGGGGAAACGAAACAACAAATGAATGTTTGGTTTTTAATGTATTTTTGATTGAAAAACAATTTCGTAATTATTATAGAAGTGGTGCTGAGGAGGTGGTCGTGGATGTGGTTTGTAATAAGACTTCATATTTGTATTAATGGTTTAATTATTAATTTGATCCAAACATTGGTAGAAGTAGTAGTGGTTATGAAGTCATCACAAGTAGTGGTTTTGGTATTAAAATGAGTGACGAATCGCAGATATAATGAAGTGGTTTACTGTGACAGTAGATGACGAGTAGGTCTTACAGTCTATTTAGTAGCCGCTAATGAATTGAGAGTAAAAATCATACAGAATATCGTTATATTAAATGGTTTTTCAAAGACATTTGGCGATAAAATGGCAATTGTTTGGTTCAATGGGTGACACAAATATATGAATACAAAAGTGACTCATTCTATGGTTTGTCTCAATTGATTGAAACAGAAGTGATCTGAAGATCTTTAGTCTAATGAACGCGTCAATCAATTCAATTGATAAGACGTTACGAGTAGTGATTGCATTGAATGGTTAATTGAGTGATAAGTGAATGATTGGTCAGCGAATGGTCACAGTTTATAGTCGTTTTGCTCACCGATTGACACATTAATGAATAAATGCTTTTTGTTTAACAATTTGGGGAACAAGTGAAGTGCTATTTGACTCCTTTATGAGCATTAAGTGTGCGATTCATTCAGTTTCGCATGAATTGGCGATTGTTTTCACAATTATATCGGATTCTCATTACATTAGCAAATAATCCCCAAATTATTGATATTCAAAGCACATGAATGTTCTTCACTGAGCACTGGAGACAGTAGTGACAGACAAACCACTAATGTATTAAACAAATCATTCACTAATTGAATCATAAATATAATGATAATGAGAGGCAAATCAGAAGCAAATCAATGACTTGTAATTGAAGTCCAAAGAAGTAATGTTTGGATTTTGTTTGAGTGGGAAATAAAGCAGTGGTTTTGGAAGAGTTGTATCATTTGAATGCATTTATGGTATAAAAGAATATTTCAATCAATTATTCAATTATTGATTTGAAGTCCGATTCAATTGAATACTATATTTAACTGAAACGTGAGATCAGATCAGATCACATGCAACACCTGTTAAATCATAAATAAAACACAATACGGATAACGAAAACAAATTAAATTAAATAAATGAAGCGATTGTTTAGTAATCAATGTTTGAATCAAATATTGATTTGTCGGAGGATTTGAAGATAAGTAGTGCTCAGGAAATCGCATTTCATGACAGTTATGGTCACACATGATATCAAATCAAGACATAATCAGTGTATGAGATCTACTGGTAATGAGTTTCACCAAAACATTAAGTGATGAACGACTGCGTGAGTCGTATATGTAATACCTGTTGCCTCCAGACATATAACTGTTCCCGCCTGAAGAATACGAATTGCCTCCTGAGGGCGAGTAGTCTCGGGTGCGGAAACTCTGTCCACTAGTGATCGATATAAACATGGATTACATGAGTGTCAGTGCTGTCTATGGCTTACAGCACATTAGCAGTCGTTTTAAGCAATGGTTTCAATAATTCAATCGAAATATAGATAAAATGCAATCAAATGTCATATAATCGATACCTCCGGCCCTGACCTAAGGGCGATCGGCTCCTATAGTTGGGATACGAGCCTCCGCTGGACTTGTAATCCCCGTGACCTCCACTGGAGCCGCCGTAGCTATCTCTACCTCTGGAGGAGCCCCCAAACCGATCGCCCCCGCGATCGAAACGCCCCCCACTCGAGCCACCTCTTCGGTCACCACCTCTGCCATAGGGTCCGCCTCTACCACCAAAACTTCCTCCTCGGCTACTGCTAAACCCTCCCCGCGAACCACCAAAGTCTCGGCCCCCGCGACTCCCACCGCCGCCTCCACCAAAGCTGCGATCTCTACTGAAACCGCCGCCGCGTCCGCCACCCCCTCGCCCTCCGCCACGACTGGAGCGACCCCTCGAGTGCTCGACTCGCAGTTTGGAAGACGAGCCGCCGATCGACGAGCCGTTCATCTCTCGGACGGCGTCGTCGGCGTCCGACTCCCTCTCGTACTCAACGAAAGCAAACCTAAAGAGATATAGAAATTCATCAATAATTTGATGACATTTTGAGACTTTCATCCATTTGTGGTATATGTTGCCATCAAACGCATGATAATCTATGAATGTAAGCTCGAGCACTAACCCGGGGGGGTTTTGGGCCACCCATACGGACGTGAGTTTCCCAAACTTCTCGAACTCCTTCTCGAGCTCATCCTTACGGACGGATTCAGTGATCCCACCGATGAAGACGCGGTTCTTGCGGTCTATCATTGCAATGGTTGCCAATTAAGAGGGGATTAGTATTAGTGGTGAGGCTTTGGACAGTGATTACAATGAATGTCACAATCAATTGATTTGCACTCAAAGTGAAACACTATTTCATGTATTGATTCAATGATTCATGAAATAGTGCTGTAAATGTCGGCAAACCTATAGACCACAGACTCGTACGGCACAAGACGTACACACCAACAATGGCTATGTTTAGTGTCAATCATTCATTGAGCTATACCTGAGTCCATGTCTGTGATGATCCTGATACAATTATGTGATTGTACGTGAATTGAGTATTACGCGATTTGCTTGATTTGCTTGATGTGTGTTATGTTCACTCTATGACCACATGTGTCGGAAAATCACTGTAAATGTCGGGACTGTGTGTAGACCTCTAGAAATCTCTAGTTTGCAACAAAAGAAAACTCCCTATAATTGTCAACACAATGCCATCTATGGGTCATTGGATACATAACCGGCATATCACAGAATATTCTGTACGAGTCTCCACTCAATTGTATTGCTATTGTAATTGTGTTTAGCATTGGATTTTAATTCTTAACTTGATTTAAAAGTTAAAATAAATTTTATTAAATGACTTCATTTTTATTTATTTAATTATTATTTTATTTATTAAACATTGAATGAAATACTAAATGACATATAAATCAATAAAAACATAATTTAGTTAGCGTTGAGAAACATTTATAAAAAGCAAATGTTTTGTTTTAATAAAAATAATAAAATATAATAAATCAAAGATAAGAAGCAATATTATTGTGAATTATAC